TGCTGCTCGGTGGACTCGTCTTTATCGCGAAGGTCGCCAGAGGTTGCAAGCTCGCGGAGGTCGGAACGGGTCCTGCTCGGGGCAGATGTAGCTCGCCGGATGTTGCAGCGATGGTGGCTCATGGTCTGCGACGTTGGGAGTCGAGCCTGCACGGAGGAGGATGGTGGTGCTCGAAGTTGCAGCGGCTCACGGTGGTTGGTCGACCCGCTTCTGTTCGCGGCAGAGGAGGTTGATCACGGCGCGGAGGAAGCTCTGGCCACGGTGTGGCGGCGTTGTCGCGGATTGAGGGAGGATTTGTCGTGGCGTGGTGAACTCGCGAAGGAGGACTCGACGGAGAGATCATCTGCTTGGTGACGGGACCGACGGAGATCGCTCGCGGAGGTTGATGGCGGGCCGCGACACTGCTGATGCGCGGTTCGCCGGAGTGCAGCGGAGCAGCAGGCGGCGATTAGCTTTTCCGGTGAGAAATTGGCGTGACTGAGAGGGGTTCTCGGCGAGGAGCAGGAACTCGCGATCGATCGGATGCAGAGGGAAGATGAAGGCGCGGGGGTGAAGNCGGATGCAGAGGGAAGATGAAGGCGCGGGGGTGAAGGATGAAGGATTTGCGATGAAGGTGACGATGAAAGCGACAGATTTACGAGAGAAATCTCTCCTCTGAGGTCGCGATCGAATGGAAGCAGAGAGAAGGGCTGCGGGATATTTTATCTGATTTCTCACTTGAACGAGCGAGATAAAAGAAAAGAGACTAGGGCACAAGAAAAGCCCACAATTTGGGGCGGACCGGGTCGGGTCTGACGGCCGGGTCGCGCGGGCTCGAAGCTGGTTCGGGCTGGTTTGCTAACACGGGTTCGCGGGTTCAAAGAAACGATTCGGCCCAGCTCTCGGGCTCAACTTTCGTTTTCCTCGGGCCCGATAGATTAAATCGGATCGACTCGTAAATTAAATTGCACGATAAATGCATAGCCGGATATAATATATTATTTATAATACACACAATTTAAATTTGTAAAAATAATAATATTAATATTAATAAAAATACAAATACGCATTTTAATTAAATAATAACGCTTAGACAATTAGGCAATTAATTACAATTTGACAAATAAATATCATTTAGACAATTAGATATTTAATAATTTTTAGCATTCAAATTATAATAACAACAACAACCAAATATAAATAATAATAATAATAATTAATAATTCCCAAAATCTCATAATCAAACGGGGCATTACAATCTATCCTCCTTAAAATATTTCCGTCCTCGGAAATGCAAAAGAACACACATCTAAAAGAAAACGATAGACTCGATCAGGAATTTCTAATCACGAGGTCTGGGCATCACCCTCCAGAACTCGTTTCTGTTCCCATGAGTCCTTTCGCCTTTTTACAAAAAGGCATACACTCACATACAGGAACAAAACCGACTCGCCCATGCTCATATGTTTACCTTTTGCTTGGGAGGGTGATCAGTCCTGCCCGAGCTCAGGCGTACATCATCTTGCAAAGGACCTAGTTCGGTTTAGTCTGTACTGATGAGTGTCAACGACTTGCTTCGTACCTAACAACACACCAGACCTCAACAGGTCGTTCGGTGTATTGTCAGCATACTCCGACTTCCTCACCATCAAGGCGGACACGTGACGCCAAGTTTCAGTCTCGTGTCCGAGTCACACTGATAACTTGTTCATGATTTCATCACGGCCGTGTGTCTCTATCAGAGACACCGACACGGTACCACATACATAAAACACGGCACCATCAAGCTCACATTCTCAT